AGCGCTTGCGGACTTAGGCCGCGCCCCCAGCCTGCCCTCGCGTCCTCCCGGAGCGGAGCCGGCACTCACGTAATTTGGCTGTATGTCCTTGATGGTGTGCTCCACGCCGTCATCCACCACCACCACCGTCACGCCGCGCCCTGTCACGTTCCGCTCCCAGACGCCCGTGACGTTGATGTCCTTCCCGGGGCTCTTGCGGTTGTTCTAAGCAGCAGAAAGGACAGCGAGGGGAGAGGGAAAACGGAGCAGCGGGTCAGCTCGGGAGAAAGGGGGTCCCAGATCTTTCGGGCACGTCGGCTACCAAGTGCGGGGCTGGGAGCGCAGGGAGGAGTCACAGGAGATACGGTGGACGCAGACAGTGAGCAACAGGGCCACGAAGCGGAGTGCCCGGGGCGACACCATGCTCCAGCCTAACCGTACAGCGTGCTCCGGCCCCTCTGCCCCCCCCAGCAGTGTGCTGCGGGAGCTGCCTCCTCCCGTCATCGTGGCGAGCTCTCTCCCTGCTTCCTCCTCGCCGCAAGGACAGAAAGTGACCGTTTCGCCAGCCGCGTGACAGCTGGCTGGTGGCCACGCAAACAAGCCGAGCCTGCCGGCGTGACAGCAGCCGAAAAACCACTCACCAGGTGCCACTGCTGAGGATATTTGGGATCATTAAAGTGCAGGCTGCGTTTGGAGCGTTTCAGAAGCTTCTCTTCCGAGTGCCACCGCACGCTGTCGTGCTGTGCAAACAAAGTGTCCACCGCCCTCCTTATTGCTTCGGGTTCGCTGGCCGCGTGGCCGTCGGGCTGGTAGGTGAAGAGGTAATGGCCTTTGAGCTCCCCGACGCGGCCCATGTTCACCAACCCCGCAGTCTGGGCAAGCTCCTCCGCCCGCTGCTCCAGCTCCCCCTCGGGCACATCCAAGCTGACAGCCCACGTCAGCCTGCCGTCAGTGCCGGGAGCGCGCTCCCCGCCGCACGCCTGTCCGTCTGAGGTCACGAGGGAAATCCAGGCAGCACTCAGCCAAAGGCACGTGTGGATACAGAGCGTGGCCTCCATCCCTGCGCTCCATAGCGGCACCCTCCGCTTCCAATGCAGCATCAGACAGGTGGGCTGCAAAGAGCCGGAAATAAAAGCAGTGAGAACCTCTTCCGACCCAGAACAGGGTGGCCACAGCCTCACCTGAAGGTCCCGTGGGGCCCCACGTCAGCCCACCTAGCTTCACCACCGTCCCTGGGGCGCGGCAGAGATGCCTTTCCAAGGGAACCCAGCCCAGGAGGGAGGCTGCGCCCGAGAGGGCAGGGGTTGACACACTGCCTGCCCCACCTGGAGCACGGCAGCCCCAGGCTGCTTCCTTGTCTCGACGTAGCCCTGTGGCGCAATGAAGGCTGCGCCGGCCCCCCCCAAGCGGAGGGCCAGTTCCTCTTCTGGGAGAGCCCCCGGTGTCCCGCCTCGCCTGCTGCGTGCCCGGCGGAACCTGCTTTCGCCCGCCTCGGGTAGAACCCACCCGAGGTTCCACCTTCTTCCACGGGGCACGGCGGGCTGGGGGACCCACTCTGCTTCCCACCCCC